TTTCTTGATTTTAGATAATTATGACAGGAATGCTATGTCACCTTTTTACTGAATCATTTGTTTAATGTCTTAATCAACTGTTGCACCCTGTGCTTCTTTTTAAGATTGATATTTTCTTAGTTGTTAATCAAACCTCCCCATTTTAGATAAATCAAATCCCTCGATTCGCCTTCTGAAATTAGTTTTTATAAACTGGACTTTTTGAAATAACTTTACAAACTATCTCTGTGGGAACGATAATCTGGTACTTTTTACCATTATTACTTGTTACGAGACGACAGTAGTTCGAGGTGTATACTTGCGCCRAGWTCTATTTTTGTGTTGGAATCTAAGGTTGAATAAACCGACGAGCAAGTTTTTGGTGACTACCATTTTCTATCTCTATGATTAATGCATCTTCTAGCGTACTAGGGGGCGTATGCAAGTGTTGATAGAAAGCAGTGGACACAAAGGAACATGAAGCACCCGAATCAAAAAGTACGTGAGCAGGTACGGAGTTAACAAGGAACGTACCCGACACTACATCCGTTGACGCCTTAGCTTCTTCTCTCGACATCTGAAAGGCTCGACCGGTTGCTTTAGGGGCGCCCTCTTTTCTTCCTTGACTTCCACCCGTTTTCAACTTTTGGCAATCACTCTTGAAATGGCCCGGTTCCCCGCAACCAAAACATATGGGTCCTTTGAGTGAACACTCGTTTCGTGTGTGGCCTGACTTCCCACACTTAAAGCATTTGGTGGGGGTAGGATTGGTGCTACACGGGCCGTGATGTATGATGCGACACTTGGGACACCATCTTGCCTCATGTCTCGGGTAGGTCCCGCGATTGTTACTGCTGGAATGGTTTGACCTTTTGGAGGGCGCATAATGCCCTTCCCATTTCCTCTTCTCACCACCTGACGTTCTCTCTTCTCTTCCTTTAGCATAAACAGACTCCATGACTTTTGCCTCTTCGATTGCTTCCCTAAGGGTGGAGGCTCTGGAGTTCCTGACCATCACCATCATGTCCGCAGGCAATCCCTTGAGGTAGGCTTTCATCCTTTCTTTCTCCGTTAGGGCCACGTGCCCCACCAAGTTCAACTTCTCCATAAAAAGTCGCGTGTAGTCTCTCACCGACAAATTCCCTTTCTTGAGGGTTCAGAATTCTTCTTCAATGCGGTCCATCTCTTGTTCGTTGCAAAATTCCTCCAATACATTTTCTTTAAATGTGACCCAACTCATCTTGGCCAACTCCGTAGCCTCTAAGGTTGATATGACAATGTTCCACCAGGTAAGGGCTGTACCCCTTTGCATTTGAGAGCCAAATCTTGTCTTTTGTCCTTCATCACAGTCACAAGCCCTGAAGGCCTGTTCGATCTCTCGAAGCCAGTTCATGCATGCTACGGGATCATCCGACCCTACGAATTCCGGCGGTTTGCAACTCAGAAACGTCTTGTAGGAGCAAACCCTACCCACTTGTCTTGCCTCAATCGTTGCTAACTCCTGGGTTGGGATTCCATTTCCGGTACCCCCAGATCCTCCAATAGTCATATTCTCGGCAACTGCTTCATGCTTACGGTTGTTAGTATCTCTATCCTCCAACAATTTCATAAAGAACTCTTGTTGTTGGGCCATAGCTCTGTTCATGGCGTTCATCATAGTGCCCATCATTCTTGATTCCGGGGTTTCTTCTTCCATTATAGGGTTAGTGGTGGCAAGGTCGACTTGGGGAACCTGCTCCACTCCATCGCCCAAAGTATCTTGCCTAGGATGAACCCTTGCAATGGTGATTCGTGGCGGTTGATCCGCGGTAGATTCAGTTACCGCATGACCTTCCGGGGAGGTATCCCGTCTACTCCGAGTATTCACCATTAAAGACTGTCATAAGAGAGTGAAAGAGAGTTATGATAGGACGAACACGATTTTAACATAATACATACTGATACGTTCATAAATTCTTGTAACAACAGTAAGTTCAAGCACACTTGTGTAATAACTTGCTCAAAATAGCATTAGCTAAGTGAAATTTTGAATAGGTTATACATAAGAATTCTTAACACCATCGTCACAATTCATGAACGGGGGAACTCCGATGTCCCTAGTGCTCTCCTATCCTAAAAGATCTACCCATAACGCACAAATTACCATCTACAATTTCAGCTTAAATCTAGGCATCTTAATCCTATACCTAGTTCGCTTAAACTAGTGCTCTGATACCAACTTATAACACCCTAAAAGAAAAATATATTTAAACCGAAAATAAAAGACGAGAGCCAGAATCTTGATATCAAATTCACCATACAAAGGTAATAGTATAGCGTTTACAATCCGACTACTAAGAAGATAAATAACAACCTACTAATTTAGATTACACTATGTCTAGATTAAAGACGGGTGTTTCTATCAACCTCCAAAAATATCGTAACATCAAAACGCAACGCTCAGGAAGTAACCAAGGCTATAACTACAAAAGAGCCTTTCACAAATCAACGCTCCACTCAGCCCTTTTGAGCTCCGCCGCTAAAGGAACCTGATATACGAAACATTCAAGAGGAAGTGTTAGGCTTACGCCTAGTGAGTCCAGACGATAAAAATCAAACTATTTAACCAATAAAAGTGTGTAACTATATACATACAAACATAT